CATAAACATTCACACAATTATTAAAAAAAAAGGTCACTTTGTACCTTCATGATTTTTGTCTTTAGTTTTATTTGCATTCGTGCAAAAGCCTTATATCATCAGGAATTTTTAAAAACTACATTTGTGTGTTTAATTATAACTCTGAACAATGATGGTAACATTGACAATGGCTACATATGTTGAGAGTTTGTAGTAAAATAAATTATATTTTCATGTGTTTTCTGCTCTTACTAATGTTTTTATTGTTGTCACCATCCCATCCAGCGCCAGAACGTACTATTCAGGACAGTTCAACGAGAGCCGCTTCTACGTTCTGCATCAAGACTTTATGCGATACGTACGAAACAGGTCAGCCTGGGATCACAACCCTACCCAAATCTTTTATAATTTAACTCGTACACATAAATTATTTACTTCAATACTATTTAGACACTAGTTTCTACTAAAATCATAAGTTGGTATAGTTGCACTTTTTGTTTCAGTAGAATTGCATTAGTCATACCAAGAACTTAAAGCAGAAAATGAATGCTCAATTTAAAACCTAAAAAGGTTTCTACCAAAAAAGTATAAAATGTAAACACGGTGACCATATAAAATGTTTAAACTAAGAAATTATATAATTTAAAAACTAAATAAAGTTTGAATTTTATGGCAACGCATGTCAGGAAAATTGGGACAGAGGTAAGTAAAAGTAAGATAAATGGCAACAAGAGAAGTGGGTATGAAAAGAACAGTTTAGAGAGGCTGAATCTGTCAGAAGTAAAAATGGGCAGGGGTTCACAGTCTGTCCAAAACTGCAGCTTAATATATTTTAGTCAGAGTAAATTGAAAAGTAAGAAGACTTTGGCTATGCAGTTTATAATATCAAAAGATTTCAAGGAGCGGACAATTCAGTAACTTGTTACTTTGAAAAGCATTGGAAACAAACCAAAACGTAAACCATCAAAGATTCATTATTTTAATAACTCAAGTTTAAAAGCATTTTTGAAATAAGAATTTCAAGGAATTACGAATTTCCCAATCACAGTAGTCAAACAATTGTAAATATAGGAGCTCCAGGTACAAAAAAAACCTTCAGACGTTGCTTTATGCAATTATTTCAGAGTTGCTTAAAATCATCAAAGAAGTCTGACACTGCTGCGCCACATTTTTCATTTTTTGTGAAACGAGAGCATTTCTGCTGCAGTTTGGTTGTCCATCTACACGACAACGGCCCTCATTCTCTCTGAAATTGACGGTTTACGAATCCTGGATTCACAAGATTTTCAGGGGACCTGGGATGTGTGAAATACTCAGCAAATGTGAAATTGCACGACAAGCTGCTGCAGTTAAAAGGTTTCTTTGTTTGCACAGCGAAAGTTACAATAAAAGGCAGAGAGTTGTTTGCGCTACACACCCTTTTTCAGCATTTAGGAACATCCATACATCTTTCACCTGCTTCTTCCTTTTTGGGTCATGGGGCTCATGACTTAACTGTGGTCATGCAGACACTGCATGCACGAAAAGTATGTTCTTAAGTTTTGAGTTCAGATAACCTCAAAATACAAGGAATGTGGTCTATGTATGTGAAACATACCTAACGTGATAAATCGGTTTGAACTCTGTCACTTGCACAGTGGTGCAACTGGTAGAGC